TCCTTGGTGTACCATGTGTTGGGAGCTTCAGGCTCCTTCTCAATGATGATAATCATCCTCCTCTTCTTCCTCCTCCTCCTCCTCCTCCTCCTCATCATCATAGAATCATAGAAAATGAGGGCTGGAAGGGACCTCCGGAGGTCATCTAGTCCAACCCCCATACTCAAAGGAGGTACCTTTCTCCAAGTTCAGTTGGGGTTTGAGGGAATCATCCTCCCAATGGAATGGGTACCTGTGTATTATGGATGCTTGCCACCTACTAAAATGCAGTAACTTGAACTTTACCTTCTGACTTACCTCCAGGCACCTATGAGCTTCTGTAGTGATGGTGAGAGAAACCCATGTTGCCATTACCAGTCTGATACTGAGAGAACTGCTAATATTGAGAGGGAAAAAAAATGTACTTAGTCTCCCAAAAAAGGAACTTGCATAATACTTGCAGCAAACCAAAACCCCTTTGTCTGCTACTTTTGTTGGCAGTGGATTTGCTAATTGGGCCATGTGAAGGAATTCAGGCCAGGGGGTGGGGGTTTACTTTGCTTGGCTGGGTAGGGAGGAGCGGATGACTTACTAGAACACCTGCAGCCTTTCCATCAGGTCAGGTGATACCACTTCTTTCAACCCCCAGTACAGGAAAGCTGTTTAAAGGGGGAACTGCTCTCTCTCCTTTTCAATAGAATATCTATCACCTGCCTCCAATGGTGTGGGGATTTTTTTCTGGAAGTCTGGTAATTTATAAATCAATTTACCTGTGTAAAGTAATCGGGTTAAAAGATAATAACCTGCTTTTAAAGAATAACGGCCATCCTTTCAAAATGTCATTTGAAATTTCTCCAACAGCAATTAAACTTAACTAAACCCTTCATCTAATAAGTAGAGTTATAGTGCAACTCCATGGCTTGCTTATAAACTGTTTTTCTAAACACGTCTATAAAGTAGGGTCTGTCCCTGTCGCTTCACATTTTCTGCTGAAATTCCTCACTTTTGATCTTTCTGAAGCTACACGTTGAATAAAACTTGAGTTATGTGTTTCACAGTGTCAGAAGTTGCCAGACTGCTATTTTTCATTGCTTTACTACCTCAAATTTGTAATAAAAATCTTGATATCAAACAGGGAGTTGGTTCCTAGATTGTGACTGGCCTTTTGTGGCTTGAAAATGTTCAGTTGGCTTATTCTAATACAGGCAACCTCTGCTTAGCACTGTTTCACGTAGCGCTGTTGTGCTATAACTCTCATTTTATATTGATACTTGAGTCTCTCTTAGGGTTCAGCGAGTTTCGTTATAACACTCATGGTTGCCATCTTGGTTCGTCAATAACGTTTTGTTTTGCTTAATGCTATTTTGCTTAATGCTCAGTTTTTCAGGAACCAAGTAAGAGTGCTAAGTGGGGGTTGCCTGTAGTTTGAAATAGAAATGCCATGTATGCCTTCCATTTTTATTTATGAAAACTCTGTTTTAATGACGGTCTCATTCTTTGCTCTTCCTTGGAATATTTTTTGTATGGAAATAAAAGTTCCACTCAGCTTTTATGATGAACAGTGCCATAAAGTTCTCTAGGTCAGAAGGAGGTTGGAACTGTATGTGATGTAAAAAAAGGATTTAGAAATTTGGTAATGACCTGGTAATTACACGTCATAACATAGATGCACAGTAGGATTTGATTTTCAAGTTTATCTCTTTGTGAACTTTAACATTCTTTGAATGTATCAGAGATGGAAAATCAGTTCTGTCACTTGCTTGTTGCATAATATTTAGCAGCAAATATGGCATTTTTCAATGATGCCTACTCTCTTTCCCCAGAAGAACTTGGTTTTGTAGCATTCTCGCATTTTGTTTTTCAGATGTTTTGTACTGGTTTGGAAGGCATCCATTACATGTACTGCTTACATTGCGTTTTGCATAATGACTTGTCCAGAAAGAGGCATAGCCCTTTTCCTTGTTGGATAAGTACAGTGTTGATAGCTTCTGTGAAATGTGGAGGATGGGGGTTGGGCCTGAAAGCCACAAAGAAAGATTTTCTTGCTTGTGACTTGCTTAGCTTTATGGTAGGGAATTTCTTACACTTGCTCTTTTAGTTTTGATTTGGAGGAAGCAGAGAAAGATAACAAACCTTTTTCCCCAAGGATAGCCTGCTGTCCTTGAATTTATAAAAATGACCTGACAAAATAATGCAGGCCTTGTCTAATATTCGGTGATGAATCCCTATCCAAAGAGCAGTATAATTCTGGTTAATTCATCCCTCTAGAGGGATTGCAGACAATGGAAAATTACCCAATAATGATTCATTATCAGGTTTAATAATTGAATGGGGGGCAAGGAATCGGAACAACAGAGAACGAAAGCATAGTGGAGAATTACCTGATAGGTGAATTTTATCCAGTGTTAACTGTATCTAGGGTTATAAAAATATGGTAAGTATATGTAAATCCATTGGTGTTCTTGTAAGTCTTGTTTGCAGTCATGATTTCTGAACATAGTTTTTTGGCTTGTCTGAGAAGCAATGTTTGATCAATTTAATAGGGGCTAAATTAATATTGTCTCTTATTCATTATCCCTCTGCCTTAGTGGTAGTTTGTGTGACTGTGCACAAACAAAACACAACTTTGCAGAAGGCTAGTCTTGCTTTCTCTTTTTTGATATAAAATGTTTGTTGGTTCTGACTGCATCATTCAAAAAAGTTACACCAACTGCATTGCTGAGTTTAAAAAAAAATTAATATTATAATTAGAAATGGGAGTTAAGTTTTATGTATCAATTGTAACATTTTTCTTTTTTTTTTTGAAGGGGGACAAGTAGTAATTATACGAATAATTACTTGATTTCAAAATTGGATAAGTATTCCAGTGTTAGAATAGGGAAAATGGGACAAATATTAGCTTGATGTAAAAAGCCAAAAAAGAAATCTTCTTTAGGATTTTTCTTGGCCATGACAAAATTACATTTGGCATTTTTGGGTCATGCTGATGTTTGGACTGCTTCGTCTTTTTTTATTATAAAGCTGATTTCCTCTTGGAACTTAGGCCTTTAGCTCTTATTTAAATTTACTAGCAATTTAGATGCAGTATTTTTGAGGATATGATTTTAACATTTTTGCCTGGTTTTATAACTAAAACTGAAGAGGCATGGTGCTTCAGTATCCTGAATTTTTATGAAAACTTTTACAAAAATATTAGCATTTTGCTGGAGTGAAAAACTGATGCTGGTTAAATAATCTAAAAAGATAAGAGTTAATAGTGTTCTGTTTCATTCATATTGCAGCCATGCATCACAACTCCTCAGAATATAGGATGCCTTTCATCTGTATCATCTGTGCTGTTTATTTTACCCTTTTAAACCTGTGCAGGTTTACATACAGCAGTCTTGGATAACATACTGTCTTGGCTGGAAATGACTCTTCGCTGGAGGTCTTTAAAGAGCATTACAGTCTCTGGAGCCCTCCTTTAAATTTGTTCTAGGAGAAAATAAGTTTAAAACATGCATTCATATATGTTTATATTAATGGTTGTTCCTATATATAAAATAGGGCTGACAAACTATGACAAAATGAATTGCAATTAATTGTGAGATTAAAAAAATAGTTGCAATTAACTGCAGTTTGATCACACAATTAAAACAATAGTCAGTACCCAGGCCCAGCACCCAGCACGCCTCCACCCAATGGTATAAAGCCTATGTGCTGTGCCACCACCAGCAGTGCACAGCCCCTGGCCTGCCCCATGCCTGCTCCAGACCGCACTGGCTGGAGCAGACCCAGAACCCATGCAAACAGGCCCGACATGAGCCCACCCTGCGCCTACTTCAGACTCACTCTCCCATGCTAAGCAGCAGTGGCCTGTCAGAAGCTGCTGCTCTGCCCCAGGGGGAAAGTGGCCCCTCCCCTCTGCCACTGCCTGTCCCTTCTTGATGCAGCTGCCTGGAGCCTGCACCTGGACTGCCCTCCGGCGCCTTTGCATTGCCACCGCTGGGCGACTGGGAAGCAGCAGTGACTTGGAGCTGCAAGGTAGCCCATGTGTGGGCTTTGGGTGGCTGTAGCAAGAATGGCCTGGCAGCAGCAAGGGGGAGGGGCTGCTTTTCCCCTGTGCTGAGTAGCATCTTCTGCCTGGTCACTGCCACTGCTCAGTGTGGGCAGACGAGTCCGGAGCAGGCATGGGGTGGGCCACAGTTGGGAATGTGTGTGTGGGTTCCAGCTGGTCTGATGCTGGTCTGCTCCGCTATGCCATGTCTGGAGCGGGTGCAGGGTGGGCCGGGGTTGGGGCTCTGCACGAGTCCTCACAAGTACTGTGGGGCTGGGGCTATCAGTGGTTCAGTGTGTGAAATTTAATGCCTGTTAATAAAATGTGTGTTAGTTTGCTTTTGTATTAATTGCATACAGAAACTGCAATTAACTGATAGCGCTAATGTAAAATAGCATGACTTGGAATTCCATGAATGAAACAGCCCTTTTTGCAGCCTTTTATGTTGCTGTTAGTATTGGATTGTGCTAACTTGCTTGATTTTGCATGTTTGTTATTTTTGTCGTTCACTGGTTATGGTGAGTGTCTTGTTCTCTTGTTTGCAGAGATTGATCCACAATATAACAGTGATATAAAAAAAGGTACATGGCTGAGTGCAGTCTTTAATCTCACTGTGTTCCTAACTGGGTTTTTTTTTTTCCCACGTGGTACTTTAAATTTGCATGTGGAAGGATTCTTTGTACCAAATGTGTGAAGGTTATACATACACATCTAAACATTTTTTTTTTCCATCATTCAATATCTTAACCCAAAAAATCACTTGAAGGGATTTTTCCCCTAGTTCTATCAATTTTTTAAATAGTCTACAAGCGTGAGAAGTTACCTAATTTTTTTATTTTCCGTTTTTGCTAATGACTTAGAAGTGTAGGAATAAGCTCAAGAAGAAAACAAATGAATTTACAAAGGAGAAATGATGGTAGAATAAATTATTTATATTTACAACTAGCTTTCTAATTAATATTTCTTTACATTATTTTGTGTTTAGATTGCAGCTTCTTATGGAAACGTTATTTGTATCTTTGAACCAGTTACCCTTCTAAAACAGAAGAACAATCACCATACTGTAAGTGAACAGTCTAAGACTGGATGCCTTTGAAATTTAGAATAATTTCTGTGATTTCACTTTTATTTGGGTGTGACCTTTTTCATTCAAGGCAGCAACCAGATTAAAATAGAGATGGCTAGCTTGGTTAGTTTTAAATCAAGAAAAAGATTGGGCAGGATGACACCCTTCATAGACAACAGTGAACTTCCTCAAATGCTATGACTTCTTGAGACTTGAAAAAGAATGTAGTGTGTTCCAAAACTTGTTTAAATCTAGCCTAATGATGCAGATGTTCCAATAAAAGCTATCTCACACAAAAATCCATGCCCTTCAGACTTTTAAAAAAATTAGCTAAATTCCATGTTGAGTTTTTGATTCTCTTCCCTCCAGGTATTTCATTTGCTAACAGTTGCATTAGTTAACAAGAGTATCACAATGTTAAATGCTTCATATGTCCTAGATTCTGCATCTCATTTTGTTCTTAACCATTTCACAGATCCAACGCTAAGCTTGCAGATTGGTATATTATTTGTTTGGAGTGAGGGTGAATTGACTTTTTAAATTTGGACTGCAAAACCCTGGCTGATGAAAGTTTTTTGGCTCTTAACTTTATTTCGCAATAATTAACTCTAGATTTGGAAAATGTGTATACTAAGTAAGAGAAAACTAACCACCCTGTCCCAAAGGTTGAAGGTGGACTACATACTGGGCAAATGTTTCTTGGGTTTGTTTCTTTTTATTCTTAGGTAGGTTCCAGTGAAGTGGAAAGCATGCACCATGATCTGGATATTACCCAGAGCTCTGTAAAATGCTTGTCATTTTTTTATTTATTTATTTTTGGTGGGGAAGTACTATTTGTGAATTTGTTCTAAAGCCTACTAATTTTAGGTGCATCTAGTGTTAGTATTGGCAATAGTTGTAATAATGTATCATTTGCTTGCTATTTCTTTTACTTTCAAATCAGTTGCACTTTTTACAAGATAAAATAACATTGTTTTATCAATTGCATGTAGTTTTATGTCTCTGAATTCAGTTAATTCATACATTAACTTAAAATGAGATCACTGTTGTGCTTTGTATGAGCTTGTCTTATCATTTTCTAGTTTTTCTTTTAAAAGATTTTGGTAACTAGACATACATTAGAACTTAATGCCTAATACCTAGTAAGACTTCCTGTTGAGTTCAGGACATTAACTGGGAAAAGCCATTAACAGACCAGGAAGAATGTCACTTAAACTAATATATACCACTTTAATTTTAGGGGTTACATTATCAGTGGCAGAAGACTGCTCAAATTTTACTGGAATCAGTTGCACATAACTTAACATGGGATCCTACAGGTAAGCATGGAATTAACTGGAACTTGTCTATTGCAAATTTAGGTTTTCTTATGTTAACCTTTTTGCTCTTTGGAAGGATCAAAATTTCCTTTTGGTCCAAGAAGTTAAAAGGTAAGGCCTGGGAAAGTCAGAGTAGAGTAAAATGCACCTTTTTAAAACTTATCATGTGATGCTTAAAATATATCTTCTTGAAAGTGCATGTTAAGAAAACACTGTCTGTCTCTATTTCACTTGTTACATCTTGGGTAATGGAATATATTATCCAGTGCTGGCCATTTCAAAGTATTGTGGGGCTTTTTAGATAGCAATATAAAGGCAGAAGAGAGGACACTTCATTTTGGCCCCTTTGTATTGTAGTTGCATATGCTTTTTTTGAAATATTACAGTAGCGCACAGATGTCTGTGCGAATGAGTAGACTGCTTTGGAGACATAATAGAATTTAATTGTGATGGTAAATATTTGAATTATGGATGTGCAAATTAAATATGAAATACAATTTAGTGTGTTAAATAAGTACTCATTTTCTGGCATTGCTAATCCAACCTGTCAAATGGTTGCTATGTAGGCCACTAGGCCATCTTGCAAGATTGTGCCCATTACATAAGGTTTGGTTTGTGGTAAATGGCATACTGGAATTCTGTAATGCATTTGGCAGTTTGTTAATGCAAAAGCTGAATGTTAGTGATATAACCAACTGACTTTCAGTATAAAAAGCTGCATTTCATAGCTTTCTTTATACTTCTACTTTTATAAAATAAAAATTTTCATTAGGCACTCGTCTCTTGACTGGTTCCAGCTCTCTGCAGCTCTGGTCCAATGTTCATTTGGAAGATGGAAATGCTGAAAAAACAGATGCTGGCTCAGGGGAATGGAGGTGTATCTGGCAATGCAAGTAAGAAGCAATTAAAACTAGAGTGGGAAGCGAAACTTGGTTTCTGTTAGTGGTAATCAAAAAGAAGGGAGTCACACCCTGCTTTTATACTGCTGGGCTAAGAGAGATTTCTCAGATATGCTTTTAATCATTTTAATTTCTTTGAATTACACATTTTATTTCTGTTAGATTAGCATGGTGCTTCTAAAGGTCACATTACAAGGTAATTTTGGGCAGCTCCTGAAGGCCTTAACTCCTGAATTTGTCTGCACATTAACACCTGAAACTAGTTTTAAGCACTTATTATGTGACTCAAAGTTATGCCACTCTAGGGTAAGAGTCTCTTGGAGCTGTGTTACCCTCTGGTGCTACTGGCATTGGGCTGGGCTCAGCCTGGAGAAGAGCAGCAACCCTGCTGTGGCAGCGGTGACTGGACACGCAGCTTAACTGTTCCCTGCCTTATTCCCTGAGACAGACTGCTTGGCAGCCACAAGTAAGTGGGGGTGGACTCCAGAAGCAGAGAGGAAGCCCGGACTTGGAGGCAGGGGATTCTTACTTTTCAGTTCTCCAGGTCCTCGCTAGCCTGCAGTGTGACTACTTTAAACTCAAGCTAGCACTAACACCAATCAACATTTGTACAGCTCACAATGTAAGGTGTAACAAGGCCCTAAGAATCTTATACTATTGGAGCAGGTCAGGACTTCTGTTTTGCATGTTGAAATAACAGGGGCCAAAAAAACCAATTATATCAGATACCTGAAACCTACTGTAACAAAGCATTAAAATAATTTGGGAGAAGCAGGAGGTAGTAGTACATTGCAACAGAAGTAGGACCTAGTGGTCATGACCATAAAGGCTAGAAAAATGGAACTATTTAAAAAAGCTGGACATGTACAAGTCCATGGTGCCAGATGGAATACACCATAGGGTACTGCGAGAGTTGGATGATTGGAAAAGGGCAAACATAGTGCCCATATTTAAGAAAGGGAAAAAGGAGGATCTAGGAAACTGCAGACCAGTCAGCCTCACCTCAGTCCCAGGAAAAATCATGGAATAGATGATCAAGGAATATATCTCAAAGCACTTGAAGGAGAAGGAGGTAATAAGGAACAGTCAGCATGGATTCACCAATGACAAGTTATGCCTGACTAACCTAATTACCTTCTATGATGAGATGACTGGCTCTGTGCATGTGGGGAGATGGGTGGATGGTGGTATACCTTGATTTTAGCAAGGCTTTTGATACGATCTCGCATAACATTCTTGCAGGCAAGCTAAAGAAATACGGGCTGGATGAATGGACTGTAGGTTGAATAGAAAACTGGCTGGAGCATCGGACTCAGAGAGTAGTAATCACTGGTTCAATGTCTAGTTGGCAGCCAGTATCTAGTGGAGTGCCCCAGGAGCTTGTCCTGGAGCTGTTTTTGTTCCATATCTTTATCAATGACTTGGAAGGTGGTATAGAATGTACACAGCAAGTTTGTAGATGACACCAAGTGAGGGGGGGAGGGGGGAGAGTAGTAGATACACTGGAGGATAGAGCTAGGATTCAGAGTGACCCAGACAAATTGGAGGACTTGGGCAAAGGGAATCTCACGAGGTTCAGCCAGGACAAGTGCAAAGTCTTGCACTTTGGACAGAGCAGTCCCATGCTCCAGTACAAGCTGGGCGCTGACTGGCTGGGCAGCAGCTCTGCAGAAAAGAACGTGTTACAGTGAACAATAACCTGAATATGAACCATCAATCAGTATGCCATTGTTGCCAAGAAGGTAATGGCATGCTGGGCTGCATTGGAGGAGTGTTGCCAGCAGGTCAATAGAAGTGATTCTTCCCCTTTATTCAGCACTGGTGAGACCACATCTGGAGTACTAAGTCCAGTTTTGGGCCCCCCACTACAGAAAGAACATGGACAAATTGGAGCGAGTCCAGCGGAGGGCAATGAAAATGGTGAGGGGGCTGGGGGACTTCTAAGGATACCTAGTTTAGTCTAGGCGGGCCATGATCCACGAAAGACGACGGCACGCGACGAAAAAGTATTTGCACACGCGTGCTCACAACCCAAAGGGTAGTAGGGCCCACAACTACATGTTAAAGAAGGTCTGAAGAGCATCCCAGGGACTTTGGGGCTGGGCAGAGGAGCAGGGCAGGAGCAGGAGGGTGCAGGAGGGCCCGGGGCCGGGGGAGCTCACCTGGCGCAGGTGCCGGAGCAGCTCGGTGGCCTCGTGCTGGCGGCCGTGCTGGACGAGCAGCAGCAGGTCCTGCACCAGCCCCACGCGGCGGCGGTAGGGGGGCGCCGCCTTGGCCCCGCTGTCCCGGCCCACTGCCTTCCTGCGGGGCGCGGGGCTGCTGCCGCCCTTGCTCTGCCTGGCGCCTCCGTGGACTCCAAGATGAACATGAGTCGTCAGTGTGACGAAGCCATCAGAAAAGCTAATGGCACCTA